GAATAAGAAATGCTCTTCCCCGGAAGTTACACCTAAGATGGCAGCCCCTTCACGGTGGATAGGAGACCTTAGGCCAACCACCTACTGTCTCTAAAACCTTTACAATTGTTACAGAAACCAACAGAGAAAGACATCGAACTGATATAACGGCAACGACTTTTAGCGCAAAACAACGGACACGAATTGGATCATGGAATGTATTGACGTTAGCCCAGCAGGGTAAACTGGCACAACTCGCCAACGAGGCGCGACGCATGAAGCTAGAAATCCTGGGACTGAGTGAAGTTCATTGGCCAAACTTTGGAGAACACAAACTGCCGTCGGGACAGGTACTACTATACTCTGGTATTCGAGGTGAAAACGCTCCCCGCCATCGTTGAGTTGGTCTCCTACTTAGCGTCCAGGCAAGTGCTGCGCTCATCAAGTGGGAGCCTGTTAATGAGAGGATAATCGTTGCCAGATTTAGAACACGCGCTTGTAACCTTACCATAATCCAATGTTATGCGCCAACCGATGCTGCCGAGCTACAGGACAAGGAGAATTTTTACAGTCAACTGAATGCCTTGGAACGTCTTGGATAAGGTTCCAAAGGGTGACATCAAGATCTACACTGGCGACTTCAATGCGAAGATCGCCTCCGACAACACGGACTATGAGCGTGTCATGGGACGCCATGGTCTCTGCGGAATGAGCGAGAACGGTGAGCTGTTTGCAGAATTTTGTGGCAATAACGACATGGTGATCGGGGGCTCGCTCTCCCCCCATCGGTCAGTGCACAAAGTCACGTGGGTTTCCCGTGATAGACATACCGAAAATCAGATCAACCACATCTGCATCAACCGAAAATGGAGACGGAGCCTTCTTGATATGTCCGGAATAAACGCAGCGCCGACATCGCGTCTGACCATCACCTTCTAATCGGCGAATTCCGCCTACGCATGGCGACGGGAGGGGAGACTCGGGTGGCGGTTCAACACAGGCCGACTTGAAGATCCAGCGGTAAAAAGGTCTTTTGTTGAAGAACTTGAGAATCGAGCTGCGGACGTTCCAGAAGGTGGCAGCGTAGAAGAACAATGTTGAATGCCTTTAAAGAAACAAGCGAGAACAACTTGGGTGAGCTGTGCACCCAGAGGAAAGAGTGGATCACAGATGAAACCGGGCGGAAGATTGAGGAGCGTAGAGAAGCAAAAGCCGCGATAGAGCGAGCGAGAACCAGAGGAGCCAAGAACGAAGCCCGTCAACGGTACTCGGCTCTAGAGAAGGAAGTCAAGCGCTCTTGCAGACGGGACAAGCGAGCGTGGGTGAACTCCCTGGCCGACGAAGGGGAGAAAGCCGCAAACACTGGCGATATACGCCTCCTCTACGATATCTCACGACGCCTGAGTGAAGCAAGGATGAACCCGAGGATGCCAGTGAAGGACACGACTGGACAATTGCTTACCGACCCCACTGACCAGCTGAAACGCTGGTTTGAGCACTTCGAACAACTTCTTCAAGTTTCGACGGCCAACCAGCCATCAACATCTCGGCATGATCCGCCCAAAGTGCGGCGCATCACTCGCGTCAATTCCGAGGCCCCATCACTGCAGGAGATTGAAGCAGCTATCCAAAGCATAAAATTCAACAAGCCTCCAGGGGTCGATCGCATATCAGCAGAGATGCTCAAAGCTGACCCCATGCTATCCGCACAAATGTTGCATCAACTATTCTGTAATATCTGGGACACCGCGACTTTTTCGGTCGACTGGATGCAGGGCATCTTAGTGAAGGTCCCAAAGAAGGGGGATCTGACTGTGTGCGACAATTGGCGAGGCATCATGCTACTGTGTATTGTTCTCAAAGTTCTGTGCAAAGTTATCCTGAATCGGATACAGGAGAAGATCGACGCGACTCTCCGACGGCAGCAGGCAGGATTCCGTGCCGGAAGATCTTGTGTGGACCATATTGTCACGCTCCGCATCATCCTGGAGCAGGTCTGTCCCTTTATTTGGTATTCATTGACTACGAAAAAGCTTTCGATCGTCTCAATCACGAGAATGTGTGGGGCGCATTGAGACGCAAGGGAGTCCCGGATAAAATCGCCAACCTCATCGAAGCGCAGTATGAGGCTTTCACGTGCAGAGTTCTGCATAACGGAGCCTTGTCCGACCCTATCCGGGTAGTCGCTGGTGTGAGACAAGGATGTATACTATCACCGCTACTGTTTCTCATCGTAATCGACGAGATCATGGTAGGTGCAATTGACCGTGTACCGAACCGTGGGCTGCTTTGGCAGCCTATCACCATGAAGCATCTCAACGACTTCGATTTGGCTGATGATGTTGCTCTACTAGCACAACGGCGCTCTGATATGCAGAGTAAGCTCAATGACCTATCCGAACGCTCCTCTGCGGTGGGTCTCACCATCAACGTCAACAAGACCAAATCGTTGGATATCAACACGGGCAACCCTTCCAACTTTACGGTAGCGGGGCAAGCAGTGGAGAAGGTCGAAAGTTTCCAATATCTTCGCAGCCAAATAGCGTCGGACGGCGTGACCAAGAGTGACATAGGTGCACGAATCAAGAAGGCTAGGGCTGCCTTTGCGAGTTTTCGAAACGTATGGAGATCCAACCAGATAAGTCAACGCACCAAAATCCGAATTTTCAACTCGAACGTGAAATCTGTGTTGTTATACAGCAGCGAGACGTGGTGTGTATCAGCGGAGAACACTTAAAAGCTGCAGGTCTTCATCAACCGATGCCTGCGGTATATAATTCGTGCCTGGTGGCCTCACAACTGGATCTCGAATGCCGAGCTCCATCGTCGGTGTCATCAGAAGCCGATAGCAACAGAAATTTGAGAGCGAAAGTGGAGGTGACCCGGCCACACACTTCGACGGGGCGAAAACGAAATCTGCATTGGAATCTGGCAGGACATCGCAGCAGAGGCAGACCCAGGGGCTCATGGCGGCGGAGCCTCAATAAGGAAATTAAGCAAGTCGATAGGAATCTGACCTGGGCCCAGGTCAAGGCAAAAGCAAGCAGCCGCCCAGGATGGAAGTCTTTCACGTTGGCCCTTTGCACCGCTGGTGGTGCACAGGACCCTTAAGTAAGTAAGTAAGTGACTTCAAAACCGTCGAGTAACTCATTTTGCCATGTAACTTTTTAACTTCCCACAAATTGTTTCACCAGTAGGTATCAATAAACCAGTGATAGCATGATCATTAGCAAATTGGTATTTTTCCGCGCTCTCAATATCACGCGTGAGCGAAATATAATGCTTGATATTGATTTTACAAGCTCCTTTGATATTTCGAGACTATTCACAACGTGTAAAGTTGAAGCCTCGATTGAAGCTGAGAGTTGATTCTGTTGCACCTCGTTTTCTTAGAAAGAGGAGGTATAATAATGCTTACTCTTTTTTCTCTTCACCGATGGCAAACACGAAGCGACTGCTGCCAGCTGTTATGAAAGTTACGGTTGCGTTCGGGTGTAAAGCAAAAATCATTAAACTCAATCTCACCACAGCTTGGTGAGATTTGCAACTGGTGAGTTTTGTTAGCTTGATATTCCGAGCTGTGATATCACAGCCAGCGTTGCCAGGTTGCCAGATTTATCTGGCACAGCCAGAGAAATTTAAACTCTGCCAGACAGATTTTTTGAGAAATCTGGCAGCTTCCTATGTTAATTTGCTGTGCCAGATTTTTGCCAGATATTTTTTTCGGGTTTTGCCAGATTTTTTCAAACTAAGCCTGGCATCTCTGATCACAGCTTTCAATATCAACAGCAGTTGTTTGCTTGTTGATTTTTGTCATCGAAAATCAAGCGTGATCTTGTTCTTTGGTGAGATTTGATTGTTTTATATTTTCCCAACAATGCAATAAACGATGGAAGATGATCGTTTGAGCCCATCTTGAGGGTAGTTATCGCTTCGTAATTTTCGCTTTCCAGTTTGGTCTCTTTTTGTTATTGAATACATCATTCATGTGTGGATGCCAACAGATAATTCGCGCTTTTCCCGTAGTAATTCCAGAAGGTATTCCAGAATGAAACTGTATTATCGTAGGCAGACTGATCACACTGCAACTGGGGTCACCAACGAAAAATTCTAGGTATGTTAGTTCACCAAAATTGTACAACAAACTATTCATTCCACCAGAGCAAGCCGATTAATTCAGGACCTCAACGAAAGCTCAACCCTAATCGCCCCAGTTTCCGAGAGACACGTGACTTGCACCATGTTCTAGCTCCTCGCTTTAGTTAAATCCAACCTCAGCAGCAGCAGCAGCAGAAGCAGCGGAAGTTGCTAGACTAGAAGCAACCAGAATGGAGACATTCATTAAAAAGGACACGAGCATGGGGACCTCCAAAGAGCGGCGAGGTATATTTGTTCGCCATATTTTCTACCTTCCACAGAAACAACACCACCATGGAAACTGAGGGGAGCAGCAGCTGAGCACAGTGCGAGAGCAGAACGTGTTCACCACGGCCGATCGACCCATATTATGCTCATATAGTTGATGTTGTTATTGTTGCTGCCCTCATTGTAGCTTGTTCGTGTGTTCATTAGATTGTTTTATGCGGAAAAGTTAATCACCGAAAAGATAATCAAATAAACGTGTAGCTGCACGTAGGCGAGCTGGCTTATTCATGTATACGGAATATGTATGTAGAATCAGGATGGTTGGTGTGACGCCACCTCTAGGCAGAGAATTCCCAGAACCGTACAGCTCTCTCCGCTTGACAGGTGTATTTGCTGCTGCCGTCGAATCGTGTTAATGCTGGTATAGTTAGAACGCCGTAAACAACACAATGGTCATGGAGGGGGTTGGAGGGGGTGTGATTATAGCCGATTTTTGACTCTCTGTGTGCTCAACCGTTGTAAGATAGAATATTGTAGCATTCAGTTTAGGGACGAGGCACTAATTGGAGAGCATAGAAACCGACCTGGCGTATGGGATTAATTGATTTGGAAGCCTGTATTACGGTGGGAAAAATCATCATAAGGGATGCACTTACCAAAGTGTTGCAGCGTTAGTCCGTCCGTCTTTTTGTCCTGCTCGGATCGGGGCGCGAAGCTGATGCCGATTTGCTGTGGTCCGTCCGGGGACGCCGCTGCCATTGCCTCCACTTGGCCCACGTAGTCCACGTAGGCACTCAGCAACATCATCGGGTAGAGAAAGTGTGACAGCCGTAGAAGGTCGGAAGATTGTTGACTGGTGCCGCTTCCTTGAAGCCTCATGTTTTATTGTTTTTTTGATTGATTTATGATTTTGATTGACACTTACACTGCTTACAATTACAACTATTGCAGCTCGAACGTGGAGGGGTATTTCGTTTGATATATGATCAACTCGTGGGAAGATTATCTTACATGTTTTGTCGTTTCTAGTCTAGTGGAGAAAATCACTGGAAAGAGAAAAATAACGAAAATAGGAATAAATGCTTTTGATAACAAAATAAGATGTCCGAATAAATTTAAAAGAAACATGTCTTAAAGCTTCACCAAGTTCACTTTCCCGTCGAAAATCCCAAACAAATTCCCACTGACCCCATGCTTGAAAAACTAATAAATGCCTTTGCAGTGGAAAATCTCACACCAATAAAAAAAAAATGTGCAAAACATGTTGCTTCTACGGTGGAATGCCAGGTCCCCTGAACGACTGAACAAATCTAAACGACACCCCGGAATGACACTGTTCCACCAACCCCGGAACAGGCAAAAGACAACGTGGCCCACCTTTTCAATCCCAGCCAGGAAAAGCACAGACTCATCCGGAACACGGAAGCCAACAGCAGAAGCAAGGACACAGTGCTTTATTAAATATGAAACATTTGAATTTCTGATCAGAGTGAAGCGAGAGCATCCTTCCGACTCCGAGAGGAACACTTTCACCATCCGCTCGGCGGTGCAGTTAGAAGTGTGGTGTAGTGGAGGAGCTCAGCATGAGATTTAAAATTTCATGCACTTCCCTGCTGCGCTACCTGCTGGCGAACCGGATCCGGCCAAGTCAGTTTGTCGCGACAGTTATCATAAACAGTTGAATATTAATTTTATTGTCAACTCGAGGTGGCAGTTTGTTGTTGTCGTTGTTGAGTTTTGTTTCGCTTACGGTCGAATAAATTTAGCTATTTTGCGGGTGTTTTCGGTGAGGTAACTTTTCCCGCTGATGTCAAGCCAGTTTTGCGTGTTTTTGTACAATTTACGGGTTTGGGTAAACGATGTAAAGGAGAAACTTTATTATGAAAATTAACTTTCATAAAATTTAACGACGAACTAAACTGCAGACTGTTCCTCTAGAATGAACAATGGCTGATAGATATTATTGTAGTGGAATTGATTTAAAATTATTTTCAATGAATAATGTGAATTTATCAAACTGGTTTTTCTTTCGCCAACATACTTAAAATGTTGTTTGTTACTGCCAAACTTTCTTATCTTGGAATTCCTTAAGTCGATATACGGTCCGATCTGCGGGTTTCGATGGCATCGTAATCGCTAAGAAGAACTAACCTTTTCGGTTCGATAATGGGCGACCTTGCCTTTGTATACCAACAGTGAGTATCGGGACCAATTCCACCAAGCGCCACCATCTCGCTACAACAAACGGTTGGCCAGAAAGTCGTACAGCCATCGTTACAACCTGCAACAGATCAACCAATCAAATCGCCATGTTGCCAACAGGCTCGGCGCAGCACCGGAATATAATTCAAAATCTCGTCTCATCCGCTCGCCGGATTGCCAGAGTGTATGGTTTAAATTTGGAAAATGCCGTGTTGAAAGTTGGTCTATACATTTGAAAAAAAAATGATATTCAAAAACTTAAGCCACATTCTTAAGTCTTTTTTAGCAGCTGTCTAATTTAGATCAGAAGAACATCAGCCAGTGCTGGTCTTTTTATACTTCCTGGCTGTCTAGGGAGCATATCTGAAAGAATATCTTGTTACTTATGCATCGTTTCCTGAACATTTACAAAATTTCGATAAGTTTTAGAAAATTTACTCAAATTTCAAAGTTCCTTGAAATAAAACGATGGTCCAAAATCTTCATCTTCAGGAATTTCATTGAGCTTTTTGAGACTTCTGACAAACTGCTATGAAGTTCCCTTAACTGAAACGAAAATCCCTGAAGTCTTCTATCTCTTCAAAATTCCCTGAACTTCTATGAAGTTTTATGCAGTTCCTTGAATTATTACAAAACTTCATCAAAGTTTACTGCACGTCTACGTTTCTCGTTGATTTTCCAAAAAGTTCGACGCATGGAATTTCCTGAATTTGTGCGGAATTCAGTCCAAGAGATTTCATCAAAGTGCTCTAAAGATATAAAAAAGGTCCCTGAATAATAAAGAGGTTCCTTGACATAATACAATTAACTTCTATGGAGATCCCTAAACTTGTGTAAAGTTCCCACTTCTACGAAGTTTTATGAACTTTTCCATAATCTCAGAGCTTCAAATAAAGGATGCAATTTTTCAATAACAATGTGGGGTCTTCATGATGATGATGGCCCCACCTCTTACCCATACAAAGGTTTGAGCTGGACGATTTATCATTAAGATAATTAAATATGACAATTTAACCAGGCTGGCAAACAAAATCGAACTGGTTTCAGTTACAGATATAAATTCCCTCTAGAGTTTACAGTTGCTTCACAGCGATATAAACGTGGAAAAGCTCAGGCGTCCACCTCTTAGTTCACCTTTGTGTCCACCTAAAATACTCATAAGTATTACAAGCAATCAAGAGTTAATGAATAATCAACAAAGCATCCTATTACACTAGCAACCCCGCAATCTGATGCTATCATAATTTTCAGCAATGTCAGGAATGCTCACGAACCCCCAAAATTTGCCAGAAAACTTACTACTAACTCAAGGTATCTTCCAAATAAGCTTCAAAATTGCATTTTTTTTTTTATCAAATGTTAAATTCAGTCCTCTATATCCGTAATACGCGCGATGCTCAAACCTTTGTAGACTACTATTTTTTTTTTACTACTACTTCTATTAAATCAAATATCAAAAATCCATCATCACCATCGTGGCGAACAAAATAGTTTTTGCAGTGCTACAATAATTATTAAAAAGTCGTTATAACAGCTATCCATACAAAATAATCCGTTAAAAATAACTTCGTCAAGATACATAATTTGTCAATTCATAAAAAAAAATCACTGGATAACCGTTCAAAAGACAGTTTTAACATGTAAAATGCAATGTCTCTTAAATTCTGCTAATGTTGTTGAACGTTTAATGTGTCTAGGCATCGAATTGAAAACATTTATTCCTTTAAAAAATAATGAATTCTGTGAAGCACAAGTCAAGAAATGTGGTGTTCTTATTTCAACCGCGTTTCTAGTATTATATCTATGATAGTCACTTCCTCTTTCAATTCGATCACACAAATATCGAGGCAGCAAACCGTTAACTACTTTAAAAATGAACACCATAGCCAAATATACAATTCTTTGCTTCACCGACAACCATTGTAAGGCGTCTAGCATCAAAGTTGAGGAAGTGAATCTATTACATCTCAAAATCAAACGTTAACGGTGCCGGTGGTGTAGTGGTAAGCGTGATTACCTCTCACCCCAGCAGGCCTGGGTTCAATCCCAGTCGGCGCCGCCGGGATGTTCTGAGGCATAACATCTCTGATAACACCTTCCTTTGTAAGGGAAGTAAAGCCGTTGGTCTCCGGTTCATGATTTGATGGGTCGATAGGTAGGGTCCAGGTGTGGGAGCTGCCTTCCTGGCACGTCGGTAGCATTGGTGCTCAGCACCGAAAACAAGATCGACGGAATAAACAAAACCAAAAAAAAAAAAAAAAAAAAAAAAAATCAAACGCATTATTTTATTCTGCAAGCGCTGTAATCTCGATATTTGTGTTGCATTGGACGGAAATAAAATGGATGGGCAAAAGTCTAGATGAGGAGAGATGATTGATTTGTATAGCTGTATTTTACTGGCAATAGTTAAATCGTTTTTCAATCGACATAGAATTCCATACTTCTTGGCAATTTTCTGGATGACATTGTCAATGTGAGAGTTGAACTTAAGTTTGTCATCAATAACCACGCCAAGATATTTAATCTCCTGAACGCGATCAATAGTCTCATCATCAATTGCAACAGAGACGTTCTCATTTAATCGATTCCGCGAAATTACCATAAATTTAGTTTTACTAGTATTCAATTTTAACTGCTTACACTTCAACCATCTACTTAGATACTGCAAATCTTCATTCAAGTGTGAGACGGCAACTTCTAAATCCTTAGCTGCAATGAATAACACAGTATCATCTGCAAAAAGGTTAATGTCGCAAAACCGTAAAACACGTCGCAAGTAATTAATATACATAATTAATAACAGGGGCCCTAATACACTTCCCTGGGGCACCCCAAGGTTGTTCCCCACGGGACTGGAAACAGAATCATTAAAAACAGTCCGTTGAGTTCTGTCAGATAAATAGCTTTCAAACCATTTATATGCAGTACTCGTAATTCCAAAGCGCTTGATTGTACTTAACAGTAAGGGCCTAGAAATTGTTTCAAAAGCGCGTTTCAAATCCAAAAAAACAGCAACAATCGTATCTTTACGCTCCAAGTTGTCTTTCCACTTTGCTAACACCAAATTCAATGCAGTTTTACAAGAATGACCTTCCCGATATCCCGATTGTTCTGGTATCAACAAAGAGTTGCTATTCAAATACTCCATCAGCTGGCCTTTAACAACAAGTTCTAAGATTTTCTCTAATGTGTGCAACATGTTGATGGGACGAAACTCTTCGGCTTTAATCGTTCCAGCAACTTTTTGAATAGGAATCACTAAGGATTCCTTCCAAATTTGTGGCACATGTCCATTCTGCAATGATTCATTAATAAGGTCCAGAAAGATGTGGCCAATGACATGAAAGCAATCTTGAATAACTCTAGCATTAACATTATCTACTCCAGCCGATTTTCCTAATGAAAAACAAATAACTCTAAATTCATCTAATGTAATTGGGTGAAAAACTTCAAATCTGCAACTACTATTAACTGGCTGTTTTATTTCGTCAGGTTCATCGACCAATTCAATAGATTGATTAATCAATGAAACACTGTCTACGAAATAATCATTAAACTTAGATGCAATTACTTGTTCTGACTGTTCTAATGTGCCATTAAAAGTTATGGACCGCGGTTTGCAATTACTAGGTTTTAATAAAGATTTCAAAATTTTCCATAACTCTTTGCTGATGTTTTGATGCTGATCATTCTTCCTTTAAACATATTCACAACGAGTTTTCTTTATCGATTGTGAAAACTTATTACGCGCGATTGTGTACTTAGTCCAATGATTGTCATTATTAGATCTACAAAACTTTTTGTACCATTTATCCCTTTTCCGTTTAAGACGCAAAAGATCCAA